ATTCCATTAGGATTTATTGGTTTTAACAAGCCACCAATAAAAGGCGACCAATTACCAGTAGAGGCCAACAGGGGCCATTACAGTTTCCATTAAAACCAATACAAGTCCCATTATAACCCGTAAAACCATTACAAATTATGTGATGGTTTCTGTTCTATTAAAAAGTAGCAAGTCCCTCAAAGGACGTCGAAACTAGCCTAAATGTGATTGTTTAGCTTATTAAGTGTAATATAATAAATAAATACATTTTATATATTCTATAAAGAAACAAAGCTATTTATTTATGGCTAAATTTGTATCCGCATAATACACGCTGTTAAAAAGGGGCGTAGCTGAGGAGATCTGTAACCATAGCAACAGCTGAACGATATCGGACGATATATCGACAAAATAAAAATAATTACTTATCACTTTAATTGAGTAATGGCGTTCAGTAAAGTCACAGCTAAAGAGCGCTGTTCGAGCGCAGAGGGTATTCAAAAAATAGCACGACCTCGAAAGCTTTTGCATTCATAAAACACTATATTACATTTTTTTTTAAATGTATTATATTTGTTTAATTGTGTACAATAAACACTTTTGTTTTTGCTCTAACATCCCTGACACAATAAATCTGGCAACAACAAAAAAATCGCGTAACCATAGCAATAGTAGACCAATGTTCACGTGGTCTACTGTTGCTATGGTTACGCGATTTTTTACATTGTCAATGATGTGCACATCACAAGTCCCAGCTAACAAAAATATGTTCTAGGAACGATTTCCATCGCCATTTACGTTATTTCGGAATGTTCTCTGAACGTTCGAAACGCTGTTTCTTAAAGTGTTATGTGAACGTTCCATTTTGTATATTTGGAATGTTACTTTTGAAAGTTGTCTGAACGTTCTGAAACAAGTAGTTACATTTAAAAAAAAAAATGCTAGATGAACATTTAAGCAGCTAAAGCGTTTCAGGAAAAAATAAAACATTGCATGAAAGACGTATAGATAATATTTTTGTGCGTAACGTTCTGAGAACATTAGAACACCAGATAACTTCAAACAAACATTCTGTTTATTGATACTGAACGTTTGTTCATAACTTTGCCCTGAGCATTAGCCAAAGAAGTTTTCACTTTGCAAATTTAAGAAAATGTATAAAAACATGGTGTTAAATAATTATATGACTCATTATCAGTCAATTGTGTATGTATTATTTAACATATTGAAGTAATAGTTGGAATGTGTAATCTGTAATTATGTATGTTTGTAATTAAGTATGTACATTTTGGGAAATGTATTATGTACCTTTTGTTTATCTTGTATTATCAAATCTAGTGAAAAAGTGACGTACATCGGTTAAATATGTATAAGGCTTTTGATAAGCAAGGCTTCTGCCTACATCTTTTTTTCGGAAATTATGTTCATTTTATTTATTTATTTTTATAATTTGTCTGTAAGGACCGAATATAAACAGAATTGATTAACTGATTGATTAACTGATTGATTGATTGATTGATTGATTGATTGGATTAAGTTCCAAGAACGTTCCCTGTTAGCTGAGATCATAAAATGTGAGTGTTTTGTCCTGAAGATCAAACCTCAAGACTGTACATTGAAAATTACCCACAGAAATTCCTTTCAAAAAGGTGACCACCCCTGAAAGTCACTGTAGCTATAACTCAAACCATTATTTTATATTTCCCAATCTAATTCATATACACATATTAATTAAAGGGGTCATATGATGCTTTTTTAAAGATCATTATTTGGTTTATTTGGTGTAACAGAATATGTTGACATGCTTTAATGTTCAAAAAACACATTATTTTTCAAATACTGTACATTATTGTAGGTCCTCTATGCCCCGCCTCTCTCAAACGCTTCGTTTTCTACAAAGTCCCTCCTTCCGACAAGCGCAGTCTGCTCTGATTGGCCAGCTGACCCAGTGCATTGTGATTGGCCGAACACTGCAAGCACTTGTCAGAAATGTAACGC